AAAAAAAAAAAAAAAAAAAATTTCTCTCAATTAACCTTAACACAGACACATACTAAATCTGACTGGCAAACATCTTGCATTAAATATTAATACAAGGTATGCCAATATTCAAGTTAGAATCTGTTTATATTCAACAGGAAATAGTGTGCTCGTAAGGCATTTACAGGTTTTCTCTCTACTTAACAAACACAAATAAGATGTCTCACTCTATTTATAGAATCATCTTTTTATTTATTTTTTTAAAAAAGAAAATTATATGAAAAAGGAACTTAAAAATAATACCTTTCTGCAGGGCAGGAGCAAAGTCCAGAAGAAAGCATTTTTCTCTTGCTATTCTTTGAGCTATTATCTATATAATGTAATATGAAATGAGAGAATTCTCACCTTTATTACATATGTTTGAGCTAAATTTTATCACTTTTCTTACCTGTATGGAAGTAATAGAGGCTGAATGTCCCTGAAGGACTGCAACCGGTGCACAAGTTCGAAGACACCATACTCTTACCACCTTATCACAGCTGCCTGCGGCAATAAGAGTGTTTTCATAGTTAACAGCCATATCAGAAATTTCAGCAGAGTGTCCACGAAGCGTAGCAAGAAGGCGTCCATCATCTGTAGCCCAAATTTTTACTAAACAGTCATCTGAACCCTATAGTAACAAAAGAACAGATTTATAATGAAGCAGAAATTCACCGTAGTCCCCCCACCACCACAAAAATAGCCAAAAAAAAGATTTTCTTAAATTACTTCTAAGACTTTACTGTGTCTCCTCTCTATATATGATAGGGATCCAGTAGCAAGTATAAATGATATCCATATGAAAGCATTAACAAACCATTGTCCAAAGTGACAATAGCATTTATGAAGAACATTCCAAAATTACCACCAATCCTGACAATTCATCAAAATATTTTAAACTCACATTTTAGTGATTTGGCATTAAGTATATCTAACATTATTATTTTTTTCTTTAGGGCTGACAGCCTTTTTTCTAAATTCTTTAAATATTTTTTTCCACAAATTATTCAGAATTTAACCTAGAGTCTACAAGCATTTCTCAGTAAGCATGAGGCTAGCCGTTAATGATAATTTCTGGTAAAAATATGATATTAAACTTCCTTTTGAGGATTTCAGAAGAATGAACAGTAAAAAGCAATTCTACTCTAATATGGTAGCTATTTAATAATTATCTGTTTATTAAAAGATAGCATTCATCATCCTCATCATGATCACTAACATCCAAATACTTATTTGATGCACTTAGTCATTAAGTCATCAATGGAAGAGTCCATACTAAACTCTAAGGTGTAATAACTTCCCAAAGTACAAACTACTTTATTCGTTGTAGCATACAAATATAAAAATAAAATTAAGCTATTACCCACACTTCCATGTCAATACTAAAGTAATGAGACTAAGCTTTTTCTTGCAAATACTGGTGTACTACAATTTTGTACTCAAAAGCTTACAGTATAATCTGCTTAATAAAAATTCAGTTTTAAAAAAAATGACCAGTACTAAAACCAAAAAAAGATATAAAAAATAGCTATAATTTTCATTATGGTGTAGTACTACTATGCAATCAAAAAAATGTGATGAAATAATTATTTAGGCAAAACTGGCAGCAATTACACTAAGTGACACATGGAAGTGCATTTTAATAAATGTTTGCTAAAATTAAATGAAATGAAATTTGCCGGGCGCGGTGGCTCAAGCCTGTAATCCCAGCACTTTGGGAGGCCGAGGCGGGTGGATCACGAGGTCAAGAGATCGAGACCATCCTGGTCAACATGGTGAAACCCCGTCTCT